TATATATATATTAAAAAAAAACTCTAGCTACCTAGATAGTTGAAAATATGCACTTACAGGTGGCTGGCATTTGTCACAGAGCCTTGACATTCACTTGTCTTTCTGTGGCCTCCATGGAATGCATGATTTCCCAGGTGAAAATGTCATTCAGACAAAGAACAGAAATCTGATGATTTGGATCATAATTTGTAAACGTGCCAGTCTGAGAGGTTTTCACACACGGGGAACTGCCTGAACCTTGCCCTTGTGTCCATGCAAGCCTCTTATGAGAGAGAGTAATTCCTCAGCTGAAGAGTCAAGAAAGGAGGCTGGAAGCCATCCTCTCTGGGAGGCACAGACCTGGGGAAGAAAATAAACATCATTGTTTTAGAATTTGTATTCTTAAAAACATGCCACAAAGCATTCACAAAGTGAATGGAAGGTTGTGACTCAACCTCATCTCCCCCTCCTCCCCCAGGCAGCACAGCAGAGCTTGCTTTGGCAGCCTGTGATTTCTGGGGTTGGTCTAGAAGGAATGGGGGCAGCAGTTCAACAGAGAGCTTTTCGGGTGCCCTGGGGTGAGGCTCTCTGGGATGGCCTGGCTCTTGCAGTTTCTAGTTGGTGCACTTGATAGAGTAATGGTTCTTTTTTTTCTTAATATTTATTTTTTAGTTGTAGTTGGACATAATACCTTTATTTTATATATTTATTTATTTATTTTATACTTATTTATTTTAGTTTTCGGCAGACACAACATCTTTTTTGGCATGTGGTGCTGAGGATCGAACCCGGGCCGCACACATGCCAGGCGAGCGCGCTACCGCTTGAGCCCCATCCTCAGCCCATATATATTTATTTTTTATGGAGTGCTGAGGCTCAAACCCAGGGCCTCACACATGCTAGGCAAGCGCTCTACCAATGAGCCAGAACCCCAGCCCCAGACTAATGGTTCTTACTGCAAAAAGCTGTAGGAAAGATTAAATGATAAAGAACAGGTAAAGTGTTTTATCATGGTACCTATTAAATACTCTGATTATGACAAGAGTTTAGGAAATATTAGCTTTTATTATCATTCATCAAAAAGATCCTGGGCTGGGGTCATGGCTCAGTGGTAGAGCGCTTGCCTAGCAAGTATGAGGCACTGGGTTCGATCCTCAGTACCACATATAAATAAAAAATAAAATAAAGATATTTTGTCCATCTACTAAAATTTTTTTTTTTAAATTCTGCTACTAGGCTAGAGCTATATGGAGTTTATCTTTACAACTTCATCTATTCCTAGTATCTCTATTGTCCATCTATGGGAACTGAAGAAGGAGAAAGCATTCAAGTTCTCACCAAGGAAAAGGCAGAAAGAGTGGAGATGGAGAGAAAAAAAAGAGGCCACATCCACATAAAGGCTGGCCCTGCAACTGGCTCCGGCATAAAAATAGATCTGGACTCCAGTGGCTGCACTGGAAGGAAGGAAACAAAGAGCGCCTTCAGTCTGCCACATAGTAGAGAGCAAATCCTGGGCCTGGACAAACCTCAAGTTCAAGTGTGGAATAAAGACATTTTCAGACTTTGAGGCCTTCGAAAACAAGAGGCATTCTCAGAAACAGGGTAAATTATTACAGTGATTTTTTTTCAATAAATGTTAAATGATACTAACACTAGTAAAGCCACTGAATGTGAAGGATTTATTCATTCCACAAATACATCCTGAGTGCCTACTATGTGCTGGTCATTCAACAGGCCAGAATAGGTCCCCACAGACACTTGCTGCTGCTCCATGGAATTTACTTTATAGTAACAAACAACTACAGGAGGAAACTGAATCAAAGAGGAGAGTGACAGAGAAACAAAAATGAGGATCCTGAACTCCAACTTTCAGTTGAAAAACTACAGGAATTACAGCAGGTAGAAGATGGAACCACCTGCCATCCTCAGAACCCACTCAGATAAATCCAGAAGGAGGAACTGGCCTGGGCTGGGCATGAGGCTGTGTGCCTGTAACCCCAGGCTGAGACAGGAAGATCTCAAGTTCAAGGTCAGCCTGGGAAACTTAGGGAGACCCTATACAAATTTTTTTTAAAAGGGAGGGGACCTGGATGGTATAGCTCAGTGGTAGAGCATTTACCTAGTTATATACAAGCCCTGGACATACTCAATCCCTGGCACCAAAGAGAGAGAGAAAAAAAATGCCTGGATTCCTGAAAAAAGTCAAACTGTTAAAAACAAGACAAGAGGTAGACTTGTGTAGATTAAAAGAGTTAACAGGAGCTGAGGGTACCTCCATGGTGGAGTGTGTTTAGCATATATGCAAGGCCCTGGGTTCCATCCCAGCTCCTAAATAAATAAATGTTAACAATCTCATCCAACTAGTAAACCCTTGAGTATATCCTGAGCTAACAAAAGCAGTTTTTTGTTTGTGGTACTGGGGATTGAGCCCAGGGGTACTTTACCATTGAGCCATATCCCCAACCATTTTTATTTTTTATTTTGAGACAGGGTATCACTAGGTTGCTGAGGTTGGTCTCAAACTTATGATTTTCCTGCATCAGCCTCCTGAGCCACTGGGATTATAGGCATGTGTCATTGCTCCCAGCTTCATTGTTTTAATCTTTCTATTTTTCCATATAAATGAAAAATTCAAAAGGTGATATGCCTGTAGTTCCAGCTATTGGGGAGACTGAGGTAAAAGATTTCTCAAGTGTGGGCATTGGATTTCTCAAGATTGGGCTACAAAGTGAGACCCAGTCTCAAAAAACAATAACAACCAGGCATGGTTCCTCACACCTGTTATCCCAGCAGATCAGGAGGCTGAGGCAGAAGGATCTGTTACAAGTTCAAAGCCAGCCTCAGCAATTTAGTGAGGCACTACATAACTTAATGAGACCCTGTCACAATAGTACAGTGACTTTTTTTACTATGTTAACTATTCTCACATAGGAAAAATCATTAAGAGGAAAAGCAAGGTGCTGCAATGTGGCAGACTGAATGCATTCATTTATTTATCTCTAAACCCCAGTTAGATGAAAGTAAAGAAATAAAAATGAGGCTGGGGTTGTGGCTCAGCAGTAGAGCACTCACCTCGCACGTGCGAGACCTGGGTTCGATCCTTAGCAACACATAAAAATAAATAAACAAACTAAAGGTATTGTGTCCAACTACAACTAAAAATATATATTTAAAAAAGAAAGAAAAATGTTATAAACCCACAAAAAATGAGGTGGATAAGAGATGTCAACCAGCTTTGGAAGATGGAATGGAACTAATAGCCCAGTAGAAGATACTGCGACTCAAATGCCTAAAGAGAGCCTGGGGATATGGCTTAGTTGGTAGAGTGCTTGCCTTGCATGCACAAGACTCTGGGTTCAATCCCCAGCAACACACACACACACACACACACTCTCAAATGCCTAAAGAGGAGAATGTATGCAAAAAATATAACAGTCATCTTTCACCAATGTTCAGGACCTGGAGAGACCAGACACCTCTGATAGAACAAGGACATGGAGCTGGAAGCAGGAAAACTATTTAGAAGTCTGTACATAAAGCAATTAAATGTTGGCACAGTGGTACATGCCTGTAATCCCAGCATCTTGGGAGGCTGAGGCAGGAGGATCGCAAGTTCAAGGCCAGCCTCAGCAATTAAGTGAGATCCTGTCTCAAAATAAAAAATAAAAAGGGATGGGGATATGGCTCAGTGATTAAGTGACCTGGATTCAATTCCCAGTACCAAAAAAACAATTAAATTCACAAATCCCCTCCCCAACCTTTTTTTTTACCATTGAGCTGAAAACATAAAAACTGGGATAAAATGTATATATCTTACTACATCTACATCTACAGCCCTATACCCCCTTTCCTATTGCTACAATCTCAACATTGTGGCCCCATAAGTATTCCCCCATGCAGGTAACTGGAAAATTCTCTGGAGAAACCAAATAGTCCCTACAATATGATCTACACATTCTGACACTTGGGGGTACCCAGAAAAAAATTCTGCTTGTCCCAGTCACCCACAATAGGGTGAAGCCCATCAATCAACATGCCCCATCTATGTGAATAGTTTCCAATTAGCTCTGCTTAATGTCTCAGTATCAAATATGAAAAGCAAGCTGTTGAAGAAAATCTCCAACAGCATACATACACTTCAAAAGAAAAAAAAGGGGAGGCAAAATCAGGGGAAACAGTGTGAAAAACAGAAAAAAAAAAACAAAAACAGAAAAAATATAGTTCATGTAGTAAACTCTAACAGACTCTAGCAATTCATTTTTTTCTCCCTTCCTCTCCCTAAGAGAGCTAAGAGAATATGAACACAAAACAAGAGGACAATGCTATACACACATACACACTCTCTCACACACACACACACACAATAGAAACAGTGACAACAATTTAAAATTTAAACATTAAAATTCAAAAACTCATGGGGCTGGGGTTGTGGCTCAGATGTAGAGCGCTCACCTACCATGCATGAGGTACTGGGTTTGATCCTCAGCATCACATAAAAATGAAATAAAGATATTGTGTCCACCTATAACTAAAAAATAAATATTTTTTAAAAATTCAAAAATTCAATAGAAAGGATAAGGTTAAAAAAGGATAAGATGCATATTTCAAGTTCCAACATCAACAGAAAATGGGATGTGGGGGGCCGTCGCGCTGAGTGACCAGCATTTCTTCTCGTGACTCTGTGGGTCATTTTCATAGTGATCTGGCCACATTCATAGTGACCCCAGACACTGCCCTATCCTGGAGCCTCGAAATAGCAGAATGTGTCTTCATGCATAGGCGTGCCTTCCTGCAACCCCAGGGGTCGAGCTATGCTCACCTGTCCCTTTGTGATATGACTCCCTTGCCCTGTTTGGGATAGAATGTTCCTTGGAAATACCTACCCTTTGTGTGTCCCCTTCTCTTGTTCTGCCTTTGGGTGTGGCCTTCCTAGATGTCAGTCAACCTGCTGACAGCAGACATCATGAAGTTAGACTCAGCCCCCTGAAACCTGACCCCTGGCCTCATTTGAATGGCTTTTTCTCAATAAAAGGGTCAGCATGTGTTGGCTCTCTCTCTCTCTCTCTCTTTCTGTGGACCCTTAAGGTCAGAGGAGCCGTCACAGGACCCCTAAATAAAAAGGTATCTCTGTCTCTTGTGTGGTTATTTCATGTAGCCCAAGTTCCCCTAGAGTGATCCTGAGTGTTTTAGTGTTGAGGAACGCAGCAGGGATGAGTATATAGATTTAGCCATGAAGTGACAGAAAACAGGTAATTTTCATGGGAAAGAAAAATATATCTTTATAGTCAAAATAAAAGAACACCCAGATGCAATGCCATATGCCTGTAATCCCAGTGACTCAAGAGGCTGTCAGAAGGATCTCAAGGCCAAGGCTCAAGGCCAGCCTCAGCAAATTAGCAAGGCCAGCCTCAGCAAATTAGCAAGGCCCTCAACAACTTAGCAAGACTCTGTCTTAAAATTAAAAAAAAAAAAAAAAAATTTTAAAGACCTAAGGATGTAGATCAGTGGTAATGCCCCCCTAGTTTCAACCCCCAGTACCTTAAAAAAAAAAAAAAAAGAACAGCAACATCTTGAACAACATCTTGAACAGCAACATTTGGAGTTAGAAGATAGTGTTAGAAGTTAAAATTCTATGGGAAAAATATTCCTAACCTAGAATCTATACCTAAACTATTAATCAAATATGAGAAAAGAATAATATTTTCAGACAGATTCAGTTATCACAAAGTTTACCTCCCATGGTCCCTTTTTTGGAAGCCATTAGATGATGCAGTTGACTAAGAATAAGGGAGTAAAATAAGCATTTTAATTTAAACATTTTGAAGGATGGAAGGAAGAAGGAAGGAAGGAAAGAAAGGAGGGGGCAGGGAGAGATGAAAAAGAAAGGAAGAAGAGGAGGAAGAAGAGGAGAGGGGGGAAACAAGGACTGTTGATTTTCTATTAGATTAGACTACATGAACAAAAATATGGCAAGGGGTTTAATGATCTTCTGGAGTCTTTGGGACAAATTACCCAAGAGTATCCAGAAAATATAATCAATAACACCAGCTATTATATGTTTGTGTTATGATATTTGTGTTAGGATAAAGTTTCTACTCAGAAATTTGACAGACTTTTAAAAGTACACAGAGGAGAAAAATGTTAAATGTTTCTTTCATCCTATTTCTGCTTTTAGCCACCTCTTACATTCTTGCCCAAGAGACAAACAATCCAACAGACCAAGTTAAGACTTAGACTTAACATTGAAGTCTTCACATTAGACACTCAGGGGACCTTCTCTCCTCCTGGGATAAGAGCAGAGAGTGTATGACGTATAAAAAGAAGACCCTTAATGAGATACAGGGGAGCTGTGGAAAACCTCATGTGATTAGATAAATAATTAAAAGTCAAGATCAATGGGCTAGGGTTGTGGCTCAGTGGTAGAGCGCTTGCCTAGCGTGTGTGAGGCACTGGGTTTGATTCTCAGCATTGCATATAAAGAAAGAAAAATAATAAAGGTCCATTGACAACTAAAAAAATATTTTTAAAAAATCAAAGATAGGGGCTGGGGTTTTAGCTCAGCGGTAGAGCGCTTGCCTAGCACGTGTGAGGCCCTGGGTTCAATTCTCAGCACTACATAAAAATAAATAAATAAAATAAATGTATTGTGTCCAACTACAACTAAAAAATAATTTTTTTTGCATTTTTTAATTTGCTTTAATTAGTTACACATAACAGTACAATGATCTTGACATATCATACATTTGAATCAGATGGGATATAATTTCTCATTTTTCTGAGTGTACAGGTTGTAAAAAATAAATATTAAAAAAACTAAATATTCTGCTGGACACAATGGCGAAAGAAAGAAAGAAAGAAAGAAAGAAAGAAAGAAAAGAAAAGAAAGAAAGAAAGAAAGAAAGAAAGAAAGAAAGAAAGAAAGAAAAGAAAGAAAGAAAGAAAGAGCAGGTACAAATAATTGAACTAACCCCATCTCAAGCATGGGTAATTCAAATTTGGGGTGGAGGTCGGGGTACCCTGTGGACATACTGGCCCTGCTAAAGTAGGTTAAACAGTGCAGCCCAGCAATTATTCTGGGTACAACTCTGGTGCTATTTAGAAGATCCATAAGGATGAATTTGATCCAGATTTGTATAGGATCCTGCAAGAGGCCTGTCACAGTAGATGGTAAAACTGGCTTCATGGGAGTGGCCAGTACAGAAATAGTGAAGGAAGTAAATTTAAAACCAACAAACATAACCATCATTATGGGATATGGCGTCTTACTTTTTGAGTTTTTTCCCCTTCATTTGCTCATCTCCTCTTCACTTGCTTTTGTAACTTTGGAGCCACTCATTCTTCAGGATCCGTTTTCATTTTGCTTACTCCAGGCCTGCTGCTTCTTCCACAACCCTCGATATCTATCCTTTATCCTGTTGTAATTCTTCTCATCAGGCCATGCCTGCATATTGTCTCCCTAATTATGTGTCAGATGAAATCCTTCTAGCCCATCCTAAAGCCACTTCTCAAAGAGCTATTTAAGAACCCCAAATCCAATTTTCTTCTATCATTACCAAATCTATTCTTTCTCCTCAGAATGTTCTTATTTTCCTCTTTACCACTATTTTTTTTCCCTTCCACTGGTACTGGCTCTGCCTTCATGCCCAGTAGCTCTGCTCCATTCCCACATTCTTCTTTCTAGACTCTTCTTTCTTCACTCTTCTTTACCCCTTCAAGATCAATAATGTCTCTAATAATGACTCTAATGTCTCCTCTTTGACTTTCAATAGTTCCCCTACCTGGATATCTCCTTCTTTAGCTGCAATCCTTCATCTGCCTCATCCACTGGGACCTTCCCCTGTAATATTTTCTCTTCCATAGAAACGAATTCACCAGTAATATCTTTCACTCCATGAACACTATCCTCATCAATTTCTATTCCTTCCTCAATCCCTTCTAGTTCTTCATCTCTCACTTTTGTACTTTCAGAAGGAATTTCCATCTCCTCATCAGTAAATTCTATCCCTGTTTCATCACCAGTAATTTCTATCACTCTTTCAATGTTCTCTTCACTTCTGCTCAGTTTTTCTCCATTAGATTCCAGTTTCTCTTCACTTGACCCCGCTTTATCTCCAATGGATCTCGAATCCTCTCCATCAGTCCTTGGTTTCTCTTCACTGGACCTTAGTTTCTCTCTACTCAACCTCATCTTCTCTCCACTGGACCTCCGCTTCTCTCTCCTGTACACTGGGTTCTCTCCACTGGACCCCCGCTTCTCTCTCCTGTACACTGGGTTCTCTCCACTGGACCCCCGCTTCTCTCCGCTGTACACTGGCTTCTCTGCAATGGACCCCCGTTTCTCTGCAGTGGACCCCCGCTTTTCTGCAATGGACCCCCGCTTCTCTGCAGTGGACTCCTGCTTCTCTACAGTGGATCCCCGTTTTTCTCCCCTGGACTCCCGCTTCTCTCCACTCAACTGCTGCCCCTCGTTCTGCTGCAATTGATATTCTCTGGATCGCAAGTCCTCTCCACTGGTCCCCACATTATTCCCAGTAGACGTGGGCATCTCTTCAGACAGAGACCCCTTCCTAGACTCTGCGGTCATCCCTGCAGCGTTAGATTCAGCTCCAATTTTGCGTTTGACGTCTTGTTTTCCCCAAATCTCTCTTGCAGAATCCTGCAACGCATCTGCTGTACTACTGCTGGTCCCTTCCTGACTCAGGCCTGCCTTCTCTTTCAAGACGGTCTTTCCCACACTTTCTGGTCGCAAGTTCTCATGACCAACCCTCGGGTCCCGCGTTCTAGGCTTTTGCGTCTTTCTGCCCAGAAGCTCCACCCTCTTTCCAATCACGATTAGCCCGTTCCAGGGTACCCACATTTTCACTTTCTCTCGCTGCACCTGCGCCCTCTTGCAGCCCCGCTCCGGTGAATGCCAGCGGATGGAGGCCTGAACGGCGCCTCCTGGGGTGAGGGCCTTGCTGAGCCGCCTCAACTGATTGTTCAGCCGCTCCCTCGCGCCCCTGAGCGAAATTATTAACGGAATCCCTTTCTGCTCAGACATCGCCACCTGCCCTGGCCGGTGGCCCACTGGCTCCACTCCGGGGAATCATTCCCTAACCCTC